TCCAAAATGTTTTATTATGCTGATGCCTTAAGAGTTCCCCTCATTGGAACTAAGGGGACAAGCCCAACCCATGAAAAACAACCCCCTACCATAATCCCCCCTCCACCAAACTTTACACTTGGCACAATGCAGTCAGGCAAGCACCGTTCTCCTGGCAACCGCCAAACCTAGACACATCCATCGGATTGCCAGACAGAGAAGCGTGATTCTTCACTCCAGAGAACACATCTCCACTTCTCTAGAGTCCAGTGGCGGCGTGCTTTACACCACTGCATCCGATGCTTTGCATTGCACTTGGTGATGTGAGGCTTGGATGCAGCTGTTCGGCCATGGAAACCCATTCCATGAAGCTCTCTATGCACTGTTGTTGTGCCAATCTGACAATCTGAAGGTCCTCTGAGCCCAGGTCATTCTGGACCCCTCCCAGCCTGTGAATGGACAGTAAAAGGAGAAGCTGCTCAGTTATGGGCTTATCTCTCTTTCACTCTTCTATCTCTTGCTATCAGCATGCTTCTTGTCAGCACATGAACTGATTGGCTTTTTTGTGCTGTTTCTTCCTTTCACACTCCAGCTCTGCCCAACAGGAACTGCAGGAGGCTGATACCAGGTCAAGTTTAGGCACTTACACTGCTTGCATTTCAAAAATTCATTTAATTATGTATTCATGACTACAGAGCTGCATTAATTTGTATTTTTATATCTGCCTAGGGTTCAGCTTTAAAGGTGAAATAGTGAAAAACATTGTATTCTGGTAAGTGTGTGGGCCTAATACCACTAATTATAGTATTTAATATGTGAATTCCATTTTCATTTCACATGCCTTTTAGTTATACTTGCTCTACTTTTACATGCATACCAACCAAATGACAGTTACAGGCGTTGGGACATACCATATAGCATTGGCAGGGTTTTTTTTAATCTTATTGGCTTAAACCTTTTTTCTAAAAGAAAATAAAATCCTGCTGTAACTGCTTAAAGTGTGTTAGGGAGCTGGGCATTAATTTGTTTGTTGCTTCCTTAAAGGTAATTTAAAACTGTGTGCCTATCTACAGTATGACTACCCCTGTCCACAGGGGAAATTTCTATACTTGCAGGCACCATCTAGTGCAATGTGGACCGCATTTACCTGCTTGTATGTACGGTATATGTCAAAAATAGCAACAATTTCCATGGGGTGTACTTACTTTTTCACATGTTTGCAAACCCTCAATGTTTGCCATCATATCTCATTGTGTTCAGTTTTACAAAGTGAATTATTTTTGTGAATCTATTGCAAAGTTTATCGTCTGGAGATCCTGCCAGAAACAGCACTTCCTGTTGTATGCTGACAACGCTAAGCCTCTGCCACGCAATTAGCAGCAGCCCACTCATTTATTTGGCCACTGCGCTGCCTATCTACAAAACCAGAGAACTGATCATACTACGGATCGATTATATGAATGTTTATTATTGATTGTTTACATTAATGACTGATTATATTTTCCACTAATTGTTTCGGTACAGAATACAGTGAGTGTTCTTTGTTTAATGTGTAGAATTTCAAAGAAAGTGCACTTATTCTGTCTGCTTATAACATCTTAGAGCCCATCCTGCCCCATCATAGATTTAGACCCCATTTACACTTTTTTCAGCGTTGATTTGAGCTGAGCGACTTTGAGGGACATTGAGCTACAGTGCACATATTGTCGCGCTACGTAGTGCTACTTTTGGTATGGCCTTCGTAGCTGCTACTTTGGGCTGTATCCAATTAAAAGCTGTCTTGTTGTGACATAATTCCCCTTCCTGTTTCCTGCTTATATGTCTGTGCAAAAGTGACACTCCAGTAGCGCAATGTCACGCAAAATCGCCTGTAATGTGCGACATTGAGCTATACCATTGAAGTCTATTGGGCCAAATCGCACGTATTCCGCCGAAAAATAGGTCATGTTCAAGCGACAAGCTTGAACTGCAAGCAACAGGCGACATTGAGCTGCGAGATGTGAACAGCTCCACTGAAATGCATTGGAAGAGCTACATTGAACTTCATGTTTGAGTGATTTTTGAGCGGAAATCGCGATACAAATGCTCAGTATACTTGCCGACATCCGGCGCCTGTGACCTCCAGGGATTGGCTCCAGCCAGGAGACAGTGGTAGATGAGCCCCATAGAAGTTGAGGTTGTGGGGGGGCAGAAAAAATAAGTGCACTTTCTGGCAACTACTTGTTTGCATTTGCTAATTCTTAGATATGGCCACCTTCATATTTACCAACTATGTAGCGTTAGGCATGCACTAGTGCTACATAGTTTTTTATATACAGTAACTTAGAGCCATCGTACACCTTACAATCCGAAAGTACAATCTTTGTACAATCAACTTTAGAATTACCAAAACTAATCTGAGGAACTAACAAATCTAACCAATCAATTTGTATCCAGTCAGGCAGGCCCTTGCACTACATAGTTGTTGGTATATCTAAAGAAGATTGAACAATCAGATTGTAATGCATGTCGTGATCTTACAGGGAATTGTCCAGATACATTGTAACATTTGTGGCTATATATTTGGGGCTTATATCGATGGGAGTAGTTTTTCTGTGTTTGATGTGATTTTGAAGCGAGAGTCGGCAAAATCCCATCGACTTTAGGGGTCAAAGCATACTTATGCGATGCGGTGACGCACACTTTATCACATTGTGCATTGACACATTGAGGTGCCATTCATTTTAAATGCTCCCCAATGCACTTAGGCAAAGCAGCTGTGAAGCACATGCACTGCAGCGCACCACAATAAACGGTAACACGCTTCCATGCATTCTGGTGCGTTGTATTGAGAAAAATGTCACATGCCCGTTTATTTCTTTGGTATTGGCAGCTCATAAACACTTTGCTGTTTTCGTGTGTTGGGGACGCACTAGAACGACAGAGTGTGAATAGGTCCTAAAGGAGCATACATGGGCTGTGCTTGTCCAGTGTTTGGATACAGAAACTGGGGCACATAGAATCTGGAGCAGTTCCCCATAGTATTACCGAGTACTGTACTTGGTATCTGTGCAACCCTAATATTTATATATATAGAGAGATATATATAATTTATTATTATTATCATTATTATTTATTTGATATTCTTACAGCCACTGTAAAAAAAACAAAAAAAAAACAGAAAGGGCACCTCCCTGAAATGAGACAGGCACCTCCCTGAAATAAGGTTTTGCAGGTTGGGATGTCTGTAGTAGCCAATCAGCTTCTGTCTTCAGTTTTTGAGGTTAGACCCCTGTCACACGGGCTGATCAGGAGAGGATCCATGGTAGGATCCTCTCCTGCTCACAGCATTACAGAGCGGATGTCACCATTGTGACATCCTTGTTTATCCAGTTTTTTGTCTCAATCAAAAACTGCAATTACCGGATCCCCATGTCTGTCTTTGGGGAATCGGATGTAAACAGACAGGTGTCCATTCACATCAGATTACCCCCGACCTTGCACATCAGGACCGGCAAAATGGATCTCTGATCCGTTTGTTTTTCCAGAACTGGCCTGAGTCAGGAGTAAACGGGTGTAAACTGTCGCGCATCCATTTACACGCGGCTGCCCATAGACTTACATTGGGAGTCCGATCGGGTCCACCTGAAATACTGACCGGTGGACCCAATCGGACCGCCTGTGTGAAAGGACCCTAAAGGTGCCCATACACTGCACGATTCTCGTACGAGAATCGCGGGAAATCCCGCGATCGTACGAGAATCGTGCAGTGTGAATGAAGACGTGCGACCGTTTCTACTGTACGGTCGCACGTCTTTTGTCTAAGGAGCATGCTAGAAAACCAGCCGAGAATCTTACGATTTTCGGCTGGTTTGAACGGTGCTCGGGAGACAAATGCCGAATGGGCCTGTATGCGCACACTGCCCGTTCAGCATTGCAGTCATCGGAAGCCCGCCCCTCAGGTAATCGCAAGTACGATCTGCCTGTCCAAGATGGGCAGATCGTACGTTTTTTAAATGACTTTACAACCATCGCAAGACTAAGGTCTTGCGATGGTTGTAAAGTGTATGGGCACCTTTAGGCTTTCAAAATGACAAATAGTAGGTTCCCATGGGCAACTGCTCCAGATTCTGTGTGCCCCGGTTTTCATCATTCCCATCTATGTTTAAGTCCCCGTGCACACCTGCGTGTTGTTCAAACGCGGGCCAAAGTGTGCACTTTGACGCAATTGGTTCAAAACATGTGTTACATGTGAACGGCACACCAAACGCACGTCAAACGCAAGGGAAAAGCACATGTGACCCTCGCAGCTGAATGCTGCATCAGTTACTTTGCTGCCTATTGTCATGTGTGCTTCACCCATTGAAATGAATGGGCGAAGCACTGTAAAAAATGCGCACAAATGTGCGTTTGCGTGTGTTCCCGCATGGCGTAGTGTGAACAGGGTCTTATTGAGTTGCAGGCAATGCAGGTTAGACGCAGCCTGACAGGAACGCTTGTCATCATGAACCCTATGCTACGCCATAGATGTCTTATTGTCTTTCTGCGCCATGTGAACACGCACATTCAAATGACACAATTTTGTGCGTTTAATAATAAATAATCATAGTAGTAAAATAGACCACTTGGCAGTGAACTCCCACCATCTAAAGTCTATGGTCAGCTCTACATATCTGCTGCTCTCCAGGGTTTTATATACAGTAAAAAGTAAGGCAATCCTGCAAGTTCTGTGTGCTTTGCCAGCAGTGTGTGCTGAGAACAAAACCCTGGAAAGCCATTGTGGACTACAAAGCACGGCTCAGCACTACAGCTCCCGGCAGCTTAGCGCCGTGACGTCACACAGACCCGTATGTTGGGCTCAGGCTCTTTCTCCCTTTCT